AAAATACGTGGAAAATGTTAGGATAGTGAGCATATTAATCATAATAATAGCGATTATTCATTTCTCTCCATACTCCACTTTGTTTGGCTCGGTAATGAAATCAAGGTTAACAATATCGTTGTGTGAGACAAAAAAGTATTGCTGGCCGTGATTATTCAAAAACAAATTATACATCTCGAGAATAACGAATAAAATACAGATCAAGCAAGTATGTGAATCCTGAAAGCCTTTCTGATCGAAACAAGAATACGTTACTATAATATGGTGTATTTATATCTCCAGCATTGGTATATGAAATGCAAATCTGCCGATATCTGTTTGCGTCCCAACCAAAATAACCAACCGTAACAATGTTGTTTATTCTTGATGACCTCTAGCACCTGTCAAGCGTTGACGGTCGGTTGACGAACCTTTTTCTGCGATGTGTCCGGATCCTTATCATATGAGAGCGTAAACTTTCGGTACGACAACGCCTCAACAGGTGGGCCTTTTTGACCTCGCGAGATTAACCCAATGACCAAAATACGAGAGCCGCTGTTCCGTTTCGGAACCGTCGAAAATTCTGTCCTCGATCGAAAATGATCAGTGGGTCGAACCGTTCGCGAGAGATGAAAATCGAGGTCGATAAAGACGAATAATTAGCATTATAAGGAACCGGCAGAAATTTTTTCCCATTCGCATTTCCGTCGATATCTCGGATGTAACGGCGAATGGGCAGAGCCGATCGGCTATCTCGAGAGAAAGTTGGCGGTGGTTTGAGGTAGCTGTGAAATGGTTATTACACGCAGAGACGACATTTAGGTAAATGCCATTTCGCGAAAACAATGACAATGAAAGCAGAAGTGATTTACCGACGGTTACCGCGTCTCTTACCAAAGAGCCACAAACAGAACTGGACGAATGATTCTGGTCTTGAATAAGTTGGAAAAAATCTGTAGCATACTATATCCATATATTTATCAAAGAAGACTTGCAGCCGGTTCTCCTACTATAAATATTGCTGGTATAAAGCTATGTATTAGAGTAAGTATCGATCGAACTGAGACTAATGATTCTAACAACGAATTGGACAAAGAATACTCGGAAAGATAGATATCTGGTAAGTATATTATGCAGTTTGCTGATTGGCGAAAAAAGTACATTATACATCAAGGGACAAAAATGCAAGATTTTTTCCAAGCTGCGATTTGTAGATCGAGAGATTCAAAGCACCGAGGGAAAAATAACATTCTGTCCTGAGGTGTATATACTATTGTTTACGCTGGCGAAAACACAAAAATTAGGAAAAAATAAAAATTTGGTCAAAGTGTTTTGTCATAATTAGTAGTGGTATCGTTTGTGGAACAACATGTGGACAACCCATGGTGACAGCAAATATCAAACTGAAAATGAAAACAGCTTTGAAAATGGTTAATGGTTATAAAACAAGAAATTGAGGAAAAACCCCAAGAAACTATTGATATACTGCTTCTGCAGTGATTCTTAACTTGCTACCAGTGATATCTAGAAATCTGTATGATGCAGCTCATACTCGCTTCTGATAAGGATGTTCCGAAGAGAAAGCGCAGACCTATTATACGGCTATATAGAGTTGGCATAAAAAATATGTCATATTACCTCCCTAGGGTATATTACGAGACTTCTGCCCCTCTTATGTTACCAGAGAAACTAACTTCTACTCCCGCTGGAATAAAACTGTATTATCTGCAATTTTATGTAGCCTTGCTATGGTGATTACGACTTAAATCGGTCATTGTTTGAGTCTCAGATGAAGTGAAGATTGCATGTGTAGCCTGGCTAGTAAAGATGTCTGAGCTTGTCCTCAGAATGATTATATAAACCTTGCAAGAAGCTTAAATTTCTATAATGAGTCGGCTTCTCCACAAGAGATCAAGTGACAAGAGGCTATGATAAATCCAGCAACCCAGCATCCCATGTTGTTCCCTTTGTAGTCCACTAGTTTTCTAAAAGTACCATGACTGTAAGATCTGGGGGTATAGGCTTTTTCACAAGAGATCAAGTGACAAGAGGCTATGAGAAATCCAGCAACCCATCAGTATCTCATTTCCAAACCATGACGCTCTGTATGTAAAACATGCGAGCTCAAAATGAAAAAAATAATGTTGTTCCAGCTGTGGGGGTATTATCTGATTCCGCACTATCATGATCCCTATATAGTCTCAAGTTTGTGGACATAGTTCAATCAACTAAGGGATAAAGAATTGGGAATTGAAACTACAAAAGTCATAATAGAGCTTGAAGAACACTAAAATTCGATAGTTATGTGTGAACCAAGAATATTAAGTTTGGAGAGAGATTTCAGAGACTAGTACTCAGAAAAAGTATAAACTTCCCAAGATACTTTCAAGCTCTTTCGCAAGAGATCGAATGAAAAAAGGCTATGAGCAACTCAGCAACCCCTTTTCCATCTTTGACAATCTGTATGTCGAACATGCAAGCCCAAAATAAGAAATAGCTGTTCCATTCTTAGTCCTCTAGTCTTTTGAGTACCATGGTACTGTGAGATGTGGAGGTATCATGATGCTTATAGTCGTTAAGTCTGTGGACACAGTTTAAGCAACCAAGGGAGGAAGAGTTGAGAATTGAAAATACAAGTCATAGAAGAGATTGAAGAATTGTAAAATTAAATACTTATACGTTCTTATTAGTAGGCTTACGTTGGACCAAGAATATGACGTTTGGAGAGTTTTCGAAGACTATAATACAGTGCAGATCGAAGATTTCCACTGACTTCTCATCTGTTCCATCGTATGAATTGGACCGCCTAGATGTAGCACATAAGAAGCTAGAGCGTATCCCCGAAAAAAATAATTGAATGCACCGTTCGTTGGCAGAGAGAAAGTTTCACTTTCTTGGCTTTTCCGTCGATATCTCCGTCTAGACCCACTTGCTCGCAAAACCGACAGATCTCTCTCCGATGCCCGCGTTTGTCCATTCTCTCCAAGACCGTCTCCCTTTTACCTTTGTTTCCGATCACCAGAGCGCGAGCGTCGTCCATCCGCAGAATATAACTACTATTGTCTTTGTCTACAGCGAGCACCGTCTGAGGAGTCGAATGGATTGAATCTTTCGGCTAAGAGGTTGTGACGATCGAAGATGTTGTGTGCATTTTATTTTATCTCAGAATTCAGACTTTTTTGTCAAAATTCAGACATACTGTCTTATTTCAGAATTTTTTCTCTGAATTATTCAGACTTTTTTGGGCAAGTGGACTATTTTTTTTATTTCTTGAATATAATCATCACTCAAATACCTTTGAGAGATGATGTTAATTCTCAATTTCAAAGGATTTTGATTTTTCATGCTCTCTTTTTTTGGATATTCAACAGATATAATTCAATGTTCGACGTGGCAAATAGCCAGGAAAGTAGTTGTTTTCTGTTGAATATTCAGAATTATATTATATGCATATCTTTATATGAAGGAGAATGCAAATTCTCTACTTCAGAAGATTTTGTTTTCAAATTCTTATCGTGTGTGTTCAATAGATGTAAATCAATATTCGTCGCGGCATATAGCCAGGAAAGTAGTTGGTTTCTGTTGAATAAACCGAGAATGAATTGATATTTTCATCACATGGAGAAGTATTTAAAGAAAAAAAAAGAAGTATCAGTATTTAAATGAAAATTGAAATGTATATGAGAAGTATACGTGTATAAACTCTGATCTTGATGAGCTTGGAACTGCCAAAAAAATCATTCGTATCAGTGATATGGGAATTATATTTATTCACACTAGAGGACATTTGAACCGGTGAACGTGAAACCACGGTGCACGAATTGTGGGCGTTGTCCTGTCAGTTCTCAGTACTCAGCACATGTTGCCAAGTCTCCAACATTTACATGTGTTTTTGTTATACAGGGTGTTCCGGTGATCATGTTACAAACTTCTAGGGTAGATAAAACACACGAAAATAGGAAAAAAAGTTCATGTGAACATGGGTCTGGAAACGCTTCTTCAGGTAGCTAGGGCCCTTCGAAGATGACCTTCAAAAACTACTTTTCGTTTTATAGCTTCGGTACTACTGCAGCTATCGCAACCAATTTTGGGACATGAAATCTAGTTCGTAGGTTCATCAATTTGAGCCTTCCGGATTTTGTCACCTTTAACCAGGGGCGTACAAACCAGGGGGGTAATTGGGTAAATTTGACCCTACTCCTCTTGGGCTTTAATTTCTTACCATTTTTATATCTGATTATGATTCGCCAATGCCTTTTACATAAAAAAGGTACTCTTGTAAAAATCGCTATCTGTCACCGTTTTCTACGAAAATGGCTAAATCCAATCAATAATAAATTATTGGTCTTTAACCAATTATTACGTTGAAATATGAAAATGAGGTTCAGTACAGATAGTGAGCATTATTAGTTAGTCAAATCTTCTTCTTTAATGAAAATAAATTAGATTAGAGAAATTTATTGCCTTTTCGAAATTGGAGGTATAAAAAGTAAAAGGGAACGTATACAAAATATTTCCTGTATGATGAATATCAATTTATCATACATCCAAAAAAAAAAACAGAAATATAGTTGGAAAAACAAAGGAGAAAAGGGGGTGAACCATGAGTCACCCGGTATACAAGAAGTCAGAAATCGGAGAAAAAAGTCCGAATTCAGAGAAAAAAGTATGAATTCAGAGGAAATAATAAAATACACAAAACAGTGGCTTTTCTACGCTTCCGGAGTTAGTAAACGACATCATTAATAATTTACGTTCGGGTATATCTGACTACTCAGATGGTGCTCGCCCTAGACTCTAGTCTTAACATAAGCATACAGCCGTGCCACACATTCGAACCGAGTGACCCAGTTGTGTGGGTGGACGTCTTCTCCAACAACTCGAACGCTCTCGGCGAAGTAGGTTAGTGCAGCCACAGCGTCTAGTAGTGGAGGGGGGAAGCCCGAACCGAACCCCACTCGACACCGGTCCGCACCTTCGCAGCCAGTCGGCATGCGACCGCTCACGAAAGAGCGTCCATCATGAGCCCCGCGTCGGCAGGCAACCTCGAAGTGGAGCGCTACATCGGCGCCTGCTTGATCTCCCAAAACTACGGCAAGCACCAGCGCCAGGACCAGTACTGGGCCGGCAAGCCGTACATCTCCCTGCGCCAGGACGCCGATACCCTGGCCAGGTTGGCAGTGCACGCTCAGGGAGCCCCCTTGGTGCTCACCAAGACCTACAACCACAGGAAGAACAAGGTGCATCGGCACCACCAGGTGCCGGTGCCAGAGAAGAAACCCAACGCGGACGCAGTGAGTGTGACCAGTGACGAGAGCGCCAACTCGGAGACTTGCCTACCTCGCATAATAAAGCCAAGGAAGCGCCGGAAAAAAGACAGGAAGCTCCCCGCGTTGAACAGGTGTCCCAGCCAGGAAGAAGGTTTCTCCACTGACAGCGCTAGCCCCGAGATTGACCACCCTTACGTCTCGCTGAACCAATTCACCACCTTCCATCGGGACCCTTACAACCTCCTGGAGTGTCCCCCTAAGCTGGGCGATATCAGCGAAACGCCTAATTTGCACCATTCCTTCGAGGACGTGGAAGAACCCGAGGATCCCAAAGACCTCAACGGGAACCAATCGAGCTGCCAGTGCAGGTTGTGCGATCCCAGCGGGCAGATTTGGGACGTGGATCGCGAGTGTTATTCGCCCTTTCTCACCCCTCCCATGTTCCGGTTTTTCGATGAGAGGTCCATTGGTTGCCTGGAGCGCGGGTTGTCTTCGGTGTCTCTGGATGAGAAGACGACCAGGTCGAGCAGGTCGAGCAGTTCGTCGTGCAGCGATCTGGAGGTGTCCACGGAGATTGTGACGTCATTGAATGGGCACAGGGACTTGGAGATCAGGTTTTTTTCGAGCGGTGGCGGGTCGGAGGGTAGGAACAGGTGTGGGGGTGGGTTTGTGGCCGAAGAGTGACTCGGACTCGGAAGTTGTTGGATTTTTCTGAGGAGGATTGGTCAGGAAGCGTGTGTCGATTTCGTCGACGAGACATGTGAATGTGGTGTATAGAGATGACAAGGAAAAAATGGCCTGTGTGCGTGGGTGACAGGTTATGAAGTACCCCCTGTAACTCTTTTATCTTTGACAGTAGAAGAAAAATTGAAAGCACAGACTTACAGGGGATGTTTTTGCTTCTCGAGACGTGAGCTACGTTATCACTATCTAGAAAGATATACAGGTTATATATATCCTCCCGATTGGAAAGACTTTTTGAAGAGGTTTCCAGAAATACTGCAATCAATATATTCATCTTCATTCCTCAATATATCGCACCTATGACATTCAATCCCCATCGGAGGAGATCACTGAAAGTCAATATTGTAATCATTGGCGAGGCCAATATTCGAAAATCGATCAAAATCGATTAAACTTTATTAGTTTTGAAAGCTTATGTTTTGAGAAATACAAATTATAAATATATATATAGAGTAAGGTATTATTGGAAAGCTCTTCGAAACGTCTTTTCATTGGTGAGGAAATATATACGGTGTCCAATAAAATTCATACACTTTTTGCTGCTTTATGTATATTTTTGCAGATAGTGTTGATTCGAGAAGGAAAAATGTCCCCTGGTAAAGCTATCTTTCGTTTTTTTTTTATTGACAAAAATACAAGAGTTTTAGGGGGTGGTACTTTTTTATAACGTGTCATGGGTACGAAAATGCTTCGTTTTCGCCATACAGGGTGGTAGAGTTTCAAAAAATATTCCTTTTCTCATTGAGGTCTGGCTGGCCCTTATTCGGGGAGGAAACGTAGTTGATATTTTCCTGAGTTCGTCACTGCTTTTTCAAGTTTTGATAATTTTTTTCAAGTGGAAATGCTCACTTTCTGTCCTTAAATTTCTCGTATCTTGCTTCGTTTGCGAACAAAAACCTACGAGGTGGCTCATTTTTGCGTTTTTGAAATAATTTGCAAAGATCATTATTTTGGCTAGTTTTCGAGGAAGTACTTCTAGGGTACAGGGGCATACAGGTAAGTTGTTTTCATGTTTTTTTTTTTGGAAAACAAAGCGAAGTGGCAAAATGAATAAAGAAATAAATAGGGAGCATTCTCGATTATAGAATTTGAGAAACAAAAATCGAACTCGAATAAGTAGTGGCGTGCGTATAATTTTCCATAATTATGCTGTTCCTCCCAGGATGCCACTGGAATGAACAAGACAAATGTCATAACATCGATAGGTTAGGTGTCCTATATTTCTTTTTTCACATCTATCAAGTTTCAAGGAAATCGGAATAAGGGATTTCAAGATATTGAAAAAAAACCTTGTCATCCTGCGTAGCAAAAACGATGCATTTTTTAATTTGTATATTTGAGGACCTTCTCTTCTTATCCTGATCAGTACTATGTCCTATTGGAGTTTTCCAGATGAAAAGTGAAACGCCCTGTATAATGTATATGTGAATTGCATTTGTATGGTGAATGCCAGGAAATTTCTATGGTAATTATTAGCAAATAAGAGTCGTTGCGAAATGCGGAGCTCTGAAAGTTATTGGTGAGATTGTCGAGGACTAATTATGATTATTTTCAACAGTATCTGGTACGTTTCAACTGTCAAAGCCAATATTCTCTTATGGGAAACTGTGGGGTGGGGATGGTAGGTACCTAATTAATATTCTCCTAAAACGGCCCCATAAAATTATTGCAAAGATGCCTTTTCGTCTTCTTTGAAATCTAATTCATTTTAAGTTGACGATGTTGCCGAATCATTATCAGTTCATATTGACACTTTATCAACATACAGGGTTTTTCATCAATGTTGAACGAAACATCAAGGACATATTGTTAGGTTTAGATAAGAAATATGATTTTCTGAAATAATGCCTATCTCTTATTGACATTTTTAATGATTGAGGTAACTCAAGTTCAAGTTCAATGTTTTGGCTCTCATAGGTACCAACGTAAGTTCTTTCTTTACCATATATTATATCAGATTCAGAAAATTACAGTTTTTCAGTTATCAGATTCAGAGACATGCATAGGTTGATTTTCCTCTTCTAAAACAAAGCCATGCAGAGACTTAAAGATCTCAAGAGCAAAAAATGATGAATGAATGAATGAAAATTCGAAAAAATCCACTAGGTACTATTTTTTTGGGTAAAAAATACACCCAATTGAGACGTCAATAATCATGTGGATTTGTTTAGTAAAGCCGATTGAAGACTTTTTCCACAATAATTGATATAAAAGTTTTTTTTTTTTTTTTAAGAAACTCGGAAAGAATCGTTTTCGGGTATATTTTTATATGAACTTTTTTCTTGTTCTGACCAAAAGAATATGAGATCTAAGTTTCGTTCAACACTAATGAAAAACGTACACAAGAAATGTATCATTGAATAAAAATCAGTCGTTGAACGTGGTACGAAATCGAGTACACTTTCACCTACCTCAATTTGTGCTAAAGAAAAAACCTCTTTCCATGCAAATAATTTTTTTCTACAAATGACATTAAAAGTGGATTTTTAATGACACTAAGGCAGAAGAGGTGTACTTTTAATGCCTTGGCAGAAAAAGTTTGTTGCTATATGCAACGTTCCAAGTAATTTGAATCAAATTGGTAATCAAAATTGACAATGACTTTGGGTGGACAAAAAATGTTGAATTATTTGGACTCTGCGTGAAATTTTTAAAGAAAATTATATGTTTCACATGGCAGAAAAGGAGATGTAATGCTTTGGCTGGTGTCCTAGCCTCGGCAACGCCTAGGCTATGAAACGCCAGCCGCGGCATTAAATCTTTTACTTTTCTGCCTAGTGAAACAAATAACTATTTTCTCAACTCAATTATCTTCATAAATACTGTCTGTAGGTTAATCGAGGAGGTGGTACATTCATTTTACTTGATTCTTTGGGATTTTCTCTCCACTTTTCTATAAAATAAAAATATGAATATTATTTCATTATATTTGTAGAGGGACAAATCAGATGATTTGCCCCAAAATGTCACTACGTTTAACAAATTCTTCTATCAGGGAGTCTAAAAGAAAAATCCAGTAGCCAACATCAGTATGACACTGAAAAGTGTCAAACTATAAGCAGCACAACTTTCAAAGAAACATATTTTATATTTACATGTTGAGAACGGGAGCAGAATCGGTCCCGAAACGTCCAAAGATAAGTAAAAATTCGATATTTTTTCAATATATCTATATTTCTTCCTTTTTTTTTTCAAACAAATTGTCACTGACAAACTATTGGATTTTTCTTTTAAACTCCCTGATTGAAAAATTTTTTGAACGTAGACATTTTGGGGCAAATCATCTGATTTGTCCATCTACAAATATATTGAAATAATACGAATACTTTTATTTTATAGAAACGAGGAGAGAAAATCCCAAAGAATCAAGTAAAATGAATTATCTTCATGTTACCTCTATGTAATCAAAATAATAGGTCATCACTTATTAATTTACCCACGAACAGTGCAAATATCGTAAAAAAATTGTTCGAGGTTGTTGCGCTCCAAATATCAACGATATACAAATTCGTACACACTTTCAATAACTTACAAAAAACGTTTCTAACATGTAATTTCAGTTATTATTCCTTTGACTTGCCGTGACAATGATTACTTTCAACCTTGAAATTCCTGCTTGTGGTAAACATTCATTTTCTTACTCGAGCTCGGAGGCTATTCGGAAAATACTCATCTACTCACTAACGTGACTCAACAACAATAATTACGAACGATGGAAAAAATACGGTATCTAATAATTGTATCCGATTATCTACCGAGTTGAATCAATATAGGTATATTCTCGACTTGAGTGGTAATCAGCGAGCATTAATCAACATTTACTCGGTACTATGTACCTCACCTCACCTGCTATATCCCAGAATAACGTACAGGGTGTCCGTTTCCACCATGGGAATCTCAGTTATTATAAGAGATATAAGAGGTCGGTTAAATTAGAGTGAAGTTGTGCATTTTCATGCTGAACATTTATCTCGATTTATCTGCAAGAAAATTTGATGTGCCATTTTCAGTATTTGAATTATTGGAAGACTGGGCCATTCTCAAGGCACTTTTTCAGAAGGAATTTGAATCTATCATTGTATTTTCCATGACGTTCTTGATGCCACAGTTACACACACAACTTTGTTTTTTCTTATGGGCGCCATATTGTTTATTGAAAAACTAGCTTCCAGTCAGAAATAAAATTCTGGTATGAGGAAGTTGATTACAAACAACAATAGTAAAATAATATAAGGTGACAACAACAACAAAAACATCTAGAAAATCAAAAAATGCTAAATCGATCAAGTCATAAAAATAGCCACAGGGACTAATCAGTAGATGGCAAAGTATAAATTTTATCCATTTCGTAATGAAATCATGTGTTTTATAATTTCAATTTTAAATTTTGAAATATGTCTGCAATTTTTTATATTATGTGGTAATTTATTAAATTCAGCTAGAGCAGCGTGAGTAAATTTTTTTTGGCCAATTATAGAAGTAGCAGAATCAAGATGAAATAAGTTTGATTGTCTCGTTTGATGACCATGAATTTCTGAGTTTCTTATCAAAATAAAATTGGATTTCAGATTATTGTTTAATATATTATATGAAACTTTAAGAGAATCTATTTTATATAATTCATCCAATGAAAATTTTTCTGTTATGGCATACAGATCATTTGTTGGGATATCAAATGAGAGGTGATACAATACTTTCAGTGCTTTCTTATAAAGTGCAGATATTTTACTGAAATAGTTTTTTGAAGAAGATCCCCAAACGTTTATCATATAGGTAATACGACTGAGTATATGAGAATGAAGTACTATGTTTATGACTTTTTTTGTCAAGTTTAGGACATCTTCGCAAAGCTCCAATGATCGAAGATATTTTTTGTATCAGAACCTCTATATGCTTGTCCCATTTCAATTTTTCATCAATCCACAGTCTTTTTTTTTTCT